TTTTTCTCTCTCTCGTTTCGTTGGAGAAAATTTGAAACAATTCGAGGCAAAATATTAAAAATATCATTTTAACAAGCAACTATTATAACAATAGTTTGAAAATATTATTAATCGTTTACCTGTATGGCACGAAGAGATATTCAATATTTCAAAAATCTATCGTATCCTGTCGACGCGTTGATCTTTTTGAAATCGTATTTGAATTTTTCCAAATTTCTCAAGGTTCAAGCTACGTTCTCTCGACGTAAGATATTTTGAAAATCGTAAAATGGAGATTTATTTTGGAAAAAGAAAAAGTTAAAATAGAAACTTGTCGCTCGAAAAGTATTAATACAATGATCGATCGATAATAAGAGCGGAAGTAGTCCTCTGCATTTACAACTTTAGTCATCAGAAGGGGGGGGGGAGGGGGTGTTCATTATTATCCGACACAATTGTCGAGGGTGGAAGGAACACGTAGGATCGATCGTTTCTCGATTTCTCTGCAAGCTTGTTACGCTAATTGCGAAATGAAAACCGAGAAGCTGGAGGAGGGAACGGGTCCTCGTCAGGGCTAATAGAAATCTCTGTCGCTTCTTTACCATCTCCCCCTCCCTGCCAAGAAACGTATTTATCTTGCTCACGGCCGTTATTTCGTCCCAGATCCGACCATTCTGTCCGACAAGCCACCCAATCATTTTTCCGATCGATTTGCCGATCATTCGTACGAACGGACGCCCATTTCGGGAAATAGTCGGCGAGGGATCTTTCAGGGGAATAAAGGAGGGGGAGGAAAAAAGGCCCGTGTAACGAGCCACTTGTGGGCTCAATGAAAATTTTCGTCTTCTTCTCCGATGGCGATTCTTAAATCTCGGTTTAATTTTAAACGAGAATCAATCACGTTATATGTTTAAAAAGATGTTAAAAAAAAAGATTATTTTTAATCTTTCACTTAAATCGCTTAATACAATAATTTTATGTTATGAATTTTATCATACGATATCGTGTGAAATCAAACGAATATCAAAAATTCAAAAAATTCATTTCCTCGTCTCGTAAAATTATTTTCAATTTATCCATGCTTGGAACAAAATATAAAATATCACGTGATTGATTGATCGTCGTGAATTCCCAGCGAGGCATAATTCAAAATATCAAATCTTGCTTATCCCTTGAATTTTTTCTTCGAAACGATTAAAATTTGAAGAATTGGACGCTACACATTACGATTTAAAATTTGTCTCTTACTTTCATCGCGAGAATTTCCAAAAGATTATCGATACGCATCTTCCATTCCGCCGGCAATGAACTCCACGTTCGATCGTCCAAGAAAATTCTCTGGAATTACGGGAGCCTCTGCGGGTCGAAATGGTATTGGATCGAATAGCGAGAGTTTGCTCGCGAATGTTTATCCCCTCTTTTTCCCCTTCCCCTCTTTTTCATTAATTAGTCGAGGATAAATACGAGCCGATTGAATGGCCTACTCTCTTTACGCGAGACCCTTCTCCCCCAGCCAAGAAGCGACGGGAAAAGCCCTTCAACCGGTATTTTCTAATCCATCGGAACAACCGCGGGCCATTTGCCTAGAAAGTATCCTCGTGGAGCTTCGTAATACCCGGGCTAACATTAAGGGCGAAGTTTTTTCTTCTTCTTTTTTTTTTTTTTAGGTTAAGAGCGTATTCTTCTATTCATCCCCTGTATTCGGTGTTAAGCACGCAAAACACACGCTTCAGATTTCTTTGCCTTTCCATAAAAAGAGAAAACCTTGTCTCGATTTCATCTTGCTTCAGAACTGTCAACAATGTAAAATTGAAGAAAATAGTATCCTTGTTCGAAAGTTATATAAGATTCATCACTTTGTCAATCGAGCATATCTATCTATCTACTTTTCATTGCGCGAATAGAATCACCACAATTGCCAGAATATCCCTTATTATTTATTATAGCATAGAAAAACGAAAAACTGTATTTATAAATTTCGGTTATATTTCAATTATGTTCGTGTCTCTCTCTCTCTCTCTCTCTTTTTTTTCGATTCACGAATTTAAGTCCGTGAGGACTTAAATAACAAGGAAAAACGGAATGAAAAATCGCACGAAGCGCAGCCCGATCTTCAATGGGCCCATATGCCACCGAACGACGTGTTTTACGACGAAGCGAACAAAGGCCCCTCTCCCCCTCGGTAGGAAATCCTCGGCAAAGAGCGAATTATATAGGCGGTGGAATTTCAGCGGCAGAAATGTCAGTTTGATCGCAGCAAAGTTGGCTGGAGTGAATGGAGGCGGCGTGGCCGAATACAGAGAGGAAGAGAATGAACTCGCGACAATAATGTACGCAGTGCGTAAAACGCGGCCGGAATACGGCTACCCTCTCGCTTTCCATCCCCCTATCCAGCGAGAGAGACGCGGAAAACTTGACGCGGAGGGGTTGATCCGGCCGCGGCCATGTTGCTCGCTACGGAAATTTCACAGTCGGACCCCTCGCCGATAACAGCTTGCACGACAAGTGAACTAACAAAGGGGAGTAATCTGCGTCGTTACAGCGCCGTGGAAATTCGCCCGCGGAATTTCTGCCACGCTCTTTCGGGATTCCGCCGTAAGCTTCGCTGCCTGTTCAAAGTTTTTTCCAGCTTTGCGGGATAAGAACTTGATACATATGTGCATATATATGTGTGTGTGTGTGTGAGAGAGAGAAAGGAAAGAGTAAAGTAAGTGGAGAAAAATTGCGCACAAAGTTTGTCGTACGATATTGAAGAAACGGGAGAATTATTCCTCGGGCAAAGATCGCTCGAAATTTTGGCGGAAAACTTTCGAGTTTCTATTTTTTTTCGGTATTTCCCTTCCAAAAGGTTTTCTCCTTCGAAAAAAAATTGGAAGGGCGCATGAATCGGAGGCAGACGCGGTCCATCATGGTCGGTTGATGATCGCCACGCGATTTCCTTGATGGATGCGCGACGGGAGAATCAAGGTCAGAGGACGAAAAACCGACGTGCACGTGGCACGGGACGCATTTCCACGAGGATGTGATCGTGCAGATGGGGCGGTCGGATGCAGGGGTGAGCTCCGGCGGCCATGTCGGTTCCCAATTAACAATGCCCGCTGGAAACTCGAGCAACCCCTGGGCCAGCCTCTCTCTCTCTCTCTCTCTCCGCTCGACCGCAGAAGGGGAATATCGGCGGAGCGCACGTGTCGAGCAGCATGCGAAATTCGAATCGAGGCTGGTCTGCTGCTGATGTGGCTTACGTTCGACCTACCTTCCATGTGTGTATCTGTGTGTATGTATGCGTGTGCTTGCTTACGCGTGTTACAGAATCGCTGCCACACACATTTCGACACACATCATATAATAGCGAATTGGAATTTTTGATTAACCGGTCTGTATTTATATCGATAAAGAGTTTGCATTTACGACAGATTATTTGCCCGAGGTATTTGTAATAAAATTGGCCGATTATTCTTCTTGATTTATCGTGAAAAGTAAAGTTATAAATTTTCATTTATAATTGCTTCGTTCGTCTCTTAACTGTTAATCAAGTGTTTTCGATTACAAGATGAATTCGTTAAGTTTGATCTCACTCAAACAAAGAACAATCTTATTGTTATGTTTAAATTTAATAGTAAAAGAAGATTAAAGTGCGAAATATCCTTGAGTTTATCGAGAAGCTTTGAAAATTTGTCACACGATAGAAAGAAAATATTCGGATTTTTTTTTTTTTTTACGTACGTACGATACTCCGAATTTTCGTTTCATTTCGTCCCGTACCGATACTTGGTCGGATCGATGTTTGCGCAATACCTGCTGGCACAACAAAGATTGCTAATCGATTTGGGAGAATGCGAATAAACGATGATCTCTCCGCAAACAAATCGGGATGGTGGCATTCGGTAAACAGTTGTTTCGCCGAATCCGAGAAAGCGAAACGCAAACATCGATCTATGACGCAGATAACCCTCCTTGTTGCGGCGCGTTCCGTATTCGAATCAAGGCTGGAGCGAGGAAAACGAGAGATGCGATAAACTTTTTACCTTTGACTTTTCACGGTAAAAATTAGATAACTCTTCGAAAATTGTATTCCAATCCCGATTAAAAATATACCGATAAAAATAGAATAAAAATAAACATCTCCGTTGAGATTTCATACTCTCGTCGAAAGGATATCGCAGGTCAGAAAATTTTTTCAATTCACGAATAATTAGGCATTCACGAGACTTCGACAAACAGAATCGTTTCGAAAATAAATAGCTTTGTTAATAGCATTACAGGGAATGTTTTACAAGTTGGATTGGAACGCTGTTATTGAATTTTCACTATTGAACGTGTCCAGCCTAAATATAATTTACATCCATAAATCTTTAGCCACCCAAATTCCATCGCGTCTAGAAATCTCTTTTGATTTTCGTCTCGTGTCTGCGTTCCAGGGAAAAGGCGAATATAAATAGAAGGAGAACGAGAGGTTTCAGCACTTTCGACTTGCGAATTACATTACGAATCCAAATATTGGAGCGTCTCTAGCATGCTCGAGGCGAGTCAAACTGTTTGACTTTCCGATTGTTCTTGCGTTCGGTTTCGTGGTGCAAAGTCTGGCTAGTCAGCAGCCGGACAACGACTGCCTCCGCTAATCCAGAAAGCGGCTTAAGCAAACGCCAAGGATCCCTTTGGGAATTTGGCGCTGATCAGGAAACCTGTCATCGTTGGGAAGAAACGTCCATCGAAAATCCCTTACGTTCGAGTACGAATGTTGTACATTCGTTCGACATTACGATATTAAACTCGTAGAAAGATTTTTATAAGAAAAAAAAATAATAAATAAATAAAAATGTAATAGAATTAAAATTGTTATTGAATGCGTCGAGTAGATAAACTTGTTCTTCGAATTGCGCACAAAATGTTGAAAATATGTGAACGTCGTGATACATATTGGCACGGTAATATCTTTACATTTTTTACAAGATATAATGCCAATGACGATTGCCAAATCATCAAATATAATCAAATACGTACAATACGCATCAAATATTTTCTTTTCATTTTCATTTTTCTATAATTTATTAATATAACGATTAATAAGAAAAAGTAATTTTCTGCCTTAACAATACCTTCAATTCGAATTCTTAAGTTTTATGAAATACGAGATAATCAAAGTTTTGGTAGGCAGTTTGTGCGCGTCCATTTGCAGAGTTATTATATATGCTAATAGTGAAAGCTAATGGAATTCGAGTGTACTTGGATCTGCGTTCAGTTTTGACAGTCTTTTATGGGAATGCAGACATCATTCGTGTTCCTGGCGTAGCCATCTTTGCAGTAACAGCCATCGTTGCATCTCTAAGAACAGAGAATCTCGTAATAACGTCCAATCTTTTTTTTTTTCTTCTATCTTATATCGATATCGATTTCTCACAGATCAAAACTCATGATATTCTGAATAGGGCAAGGTTGATCCAGAGTGGCGCAAGTACGTTGACACGCGGATCCACACGCGTATTCCTCGTTCGATCTGGAGCACATCGGATTCCTGGCGAATGCGGCTAAAACACATTGATCTTTTTTTATTTTCCATCCAACTTTTTACTTTTTCCAATTTAAAGATACTAATAGTAAAGATATTTCGTTTTGAACGGAAGAAACACCGAAAGAAAACATCGCAAAGGCGAGACGTAGAGGAATTTGAAAATGCCGTATAATCTTGTTTAACAAGTAGCGTAAACGAAATTAATATATCGTGTTATATTCTTCGAAATTGCTGTTTCCTTTTTCCTGAAGTCTGAAATTTTCATTAAATTTTCCATTTAAAATTTTTTTAAATTTGATATTATGATTGGCTTAACGCTTGAATGGTATTTCGCAATGAATTGCTATTGTTATATAATGTTAAATGTAACATTTTGTACGATGAGTTTGATCATGATGGATATTATCTTATGAAACACCGCATAATAATCATAATATCGCAAAGATAATTAAGCAAGCTTGGTTTCATATAAATTTATCACTTCACTTTTAAAAAGTGAAGAAATTTCAATTGTACATTCTGAGATTAAAATCACTTTTCACCAAGCGAAATTAATCATTTTCCATGATTCGATTTATAAATCAAACAAATAACGTTGATCGTTGAAAAACAAATTGCAATTAATGCAATAATGTTACTCAAAAAACAATCGCATAATGAATCATACTGAGATATAACGTTCAACGAAAGAGATTTTTGATTCACAATTTTCTTGGATATTCCTGTAATTTCTATCTTTCTATGAGCGTGTTATCTACATTCCTACGTTATTATTTGCAGATTTTGATTCAGCAAAATTCCCCTTTTAAAGATATCGTTAACAATGATAAGCTCTGGCAATGAGACAAGATCGTTTGATGATAATTCGAGACAAAGAAACATAGTCGAATGAAATCAAAATGATGATTTAATCGATGCACCGAGTTAAATTGATCATTACAATTTTATTTAAATTAGACATATTAAATTATGATATTCGAAATTATTACAATTTAGAAACATACCGATATAAAACCAAGATCTAGATCAAATCTAAAAATATCTATTATTGTACGAATTATCCAAGAGAATTAAGAAAAAAAAGAAATTACACTACTATTAATATCATTATTACAACACGGATTTCGCGCGTAATCATTTTCGAGCGCAATCGGAATGTCAGAGATTATCTCGAACCGAGGGCCATTTCCTCGAAGGGGAACGGAATCGTGAATCTATCACGACGCGATATCGATCTCGTGACACGTGAAAAGCTTGTTAGAAAAAAAAAAGAAGAATGGCCGAAGAATAGAGGAATTGTTCGAAAATGAGGAGGGACGGTGATCGGACGCGATGTTAATATCGGGTCAGTGTGTCAGAACGGTCGTTTCATAGGGGTAAAATGGTGGCCCTTGGTGCGCACAAAGCCTCCACGGCTTGCCTCCTCCTGCGATGTGACGTTGCACAGGGGGGAGGTGGGGTGGGGAGGGTGAAAAGTGGGGTAAAGAGCGAAGGGTGGCAAGGAATAAGGGAAACGGCGGCCGAGAGAAGGGTAACTCGAGCACTTCCAATCGAGTTTCCCGCTGCTGTCAGTGGCTGCTGGTCCCCGTTGACGTGGAACCGGCCTCTCTACCCGCTTGCCAGCATCCCGCTAAATAGACGCCGGGAGAAACAGTATCGGATAATGGCGAATTCATCGATTAATTTAAATTCTTGATTCTGTGCAACTTCTTTCGTCGGAACCAATATCTTTCTTTTGTTTAGGATTCAACTCAACGACGCATCTAAAACTAAAATTTTCAAATTTTTAGTTTTATTTAAGATTGTATATTTGGTTATAGTATCGCTTGAATAGGGACTAGGGAGTATAATATTTCGAAAACGATAAGAAATCAAGTGAAAAATTATTGCAAAATTGCAAAATCAATGAAGAATAGCGATGAATTAAAGTTTCGTACGTTTTTCGAAAGATTTTTAAATCGATTTGCATGCTTGAAGATTCTTCGGAGAATTATTGAGATTAAAAATCGAATTGATGCTAGAAAATTGGAATTGCCAAGGTTTCGTCAATTTGCAGAGAAATGAGGTAGAAAGAAAAATAGAGAATTATCTACGAGAAATAAGGTGGAACGGGGTAATAAATTTCATAAAGGGGGCGTTCGACTGCAGAAACGAATTATTATTCGAGAGGAGGGGTTCGAGGGAGGGAACGAAACGTAGAAAGTCGATGCTGAGTGCTCAATAATAAATAGCATTTTGACTGTCGGATATTCGATTGTCGGGGAGGTCTCGTTGAATAAAACGTGGAAGAAAGAGGGATCCACGTAGCGCGACGAAGAGGAAAACTTTTGAACTCGTTGTCTCGACCGACAACGAAATGGCATTTAAAGTAAAAGCAAACGCCGATACGAGAGAGAGGGAGAGAGAGAGAGAGAGAGAGAGAGATCCAGGATGCTGGATTGATCGCTGCGCTGACAAAGTGGAGACCCACGACTCTAAAATTCCCAATCGAATCAGCCTTCGACCGCCCTCCTTTTCACCCCTTTCGGACCACGCTAATTGCACGGCCTTGACAATGCCGTGCGCGATTGATGGATCGATACGAGAAGAATCGAGTTGATTCTCGTCGAAATCGAGATCGCTAGTGAAAAAGGAACGCTCATTTTGCAGGACAATTTTTTTCCCGATTATTTTTTTTCCTTTTTCTTATTTGTTTGTATTATTTATAGATATTTTCCTTGACTTTATACAGATAATTACAATTACACACGTGTAAATTACACGTATAATTGGTGGGCAATTAAGAAGACTGAAAACTTGTATTTTCTCGATACGTCTTCTTTTATGTTTCCAACGACGTCAATAACGTTAAATTCTATTAATATTCTCTTTTATAGTTATATGCAAATAATTATCAAGATATCAAGTGATTAATTTAATTTTGATTTCATGCGACAACAATGGAATAAGAAATAAAAATAAGAAAGAGAAGGAAAACGATCGCGAAGAAAACTGGTTTAAACGAACGAAAATAAAACCTATATAAATAAAATAACATAAAGAAGACCATACGAAGATCGAATAACCCATGACTCGATGATCGATCATCGGTATTTTTCCTTTCGAAACGATAACAATATTTTTTCACGAGAAAATAATAAACGATAAATAATTATTATAATCGAGTCGAAACGAGGTGCAAAACGAGTTTGAATAAGAAGAGGACGCAAAGATTATCTATCGATCGTCCGCAAATGAAGCGATATCTCATCGTTTACCAAGCATCGGTTAGTCAAGAAATAGAGAATGACGTAATAACAAACGAAGATATGTACGAAAGGATGAACGTAGTAGAACGAGGGGAAGAAGCTGAGGTCGAGGTTTCGTAAAGGAGCGTTCACATCGAGAAAATTTTCATCGGATCGATCGGATCGACGATGGACGAATCACTTTCGATCGAACGATCGAGAGTCGTTTTTCAATTTATTTTAACTTTTTATCTAGATTTGTTTATTTATTCATTTTAGATTTATCGCGAATGAAAAAGTAAAAAGGTGATTCGATTCAATTGTTCGAGGAAAATTTTGGTGCAAGCGTGGCGTAAGATCACTATATAAAGCTGAGAAGTTCGATAAGTTGGTCAGTAGTTTCGATCGTTGGTCGTCCGAAAAAAGTCTCGAATCAAATATGTCTCGAATTATCTTCATTTTGCTCGTCGCTGTGGCGATTTTCTCCAGTAAGTAGCGTTCGTCAGGGTTTGTTTTTTTCATATTGAGAATAAAATTTTGCAAATTTTCTGAAAGTTAATTAAATTCTTTTTTTCTTTTTTTTATCGAATATTCGCATATGTATACAGCTATATACGTTCTATGCTTGTCGATAAAAATAGGGAATCGTGTGTTTTTGGATTACAATGATCAATAAATTTATCAAATAATTTCAAGTTGAGTTGATATTTAAAAATGGATACTTCATTTTTTATTGCAAAGTGAGAATAAACTCTCTGAGGATAATCACTCTCGATATCGACTTGTACAAAACTACTTTCAAGGATAATTTTTATTACAATGATTACAATGATCGATAAATTTATCAAATAATTTCAACGAGTTGATATTTCAAAATGGATACTCCATTTTTTATTGCAAAGTGAGAATAAACTCTCTGAGGATAATCACTCTCGATATCGACTTGTACAAAACTACTTTCAAGGATTTCAATTTTTATTCCCTGAATATATTCGCATTCTCGGAGATAGATCGAGCAATTTAACGTTCTTTGTGCGAGGAATATAAATCTTGTTGACCGATTAAGAAGAATTCTTAACTCGGGAAAAAGATTATTAGTGAAGCGATTAAAAGAAGATATTGATATAAATAAATAATGTGATTGTTGAAGGTTCATTTGGCGAGGAGTGTGGACCAAACGAGGTGTTCAGTACGTGTGGATCGGCATGTGCACCCACATGTGCCGAACCAAAAGCTCGTGTTTGTACCATGGTTTGTAAAAACTTTTAATTTTCCTTGGAATTTCGCGATTTAATGATATATTTTATTTTATTTTATTTTTATTCTTTTAGCAATGTATTATCGGTTGTAAATGTCAGGAAGGCTTCTTGAGAAACGGTGAAGGGGCATGTGTCCTTCCACAAAATTGTTAAAATTCCCACTTAATTATTGGAAAACGATTTTTCGCTCCCTTATTTAGAATTCACACTCTTTGCTTTCTTTGTTTCTTTGCTTTCGTCTGTTTTGCTGTTGTCTTTTATAATTCAAAACAGGATGTATATACAAATAAATAATAAACTGTTGTTTTAAAATCTTTTTTATTCATTTTGTTAATTTATTATTCCTCGTACACGCGAATTGAAAGAAATTGTATTCAACGTATTACATTATCGTGTACACGATACACGTTTAACACGATAAACGCAAACACGAGTTAATATCTTTTGAAAATAAATCGTGAGTACACGTAAAAATCTTCAAAATCTTCTACGCAAAAAGGATTATTGCAAATATTTACGTTATGTCATCCTCGCTGTTTGCCTGACAAATCGTGTAAAATATTACGAGCGCGAATGTAAAAAAAAAAGAAAAAAAAGAAAAGAAATAAATGAAAACAAATTTATACCAAGTTTAATAATTACATTAATGATATTTTATTTTACTTTTTTTTTTTCGAAAACACTCCTATATTCGAGGAATAGCATTTATTTTCAATTAATTCGTATCATCGGATCTTAACAATGCTTAGGTAAGACACACTTGTTTGCGGCATTCCTTACGAATCCTTTGATACAAGCGCAGCCAGCTCTGCATATCTGACAAACGATCAAATCGTATTAAAAATCGGACGAAATCGGGTTTGGAATTTTCACGTTGGCACGTGTACGAAACCAACCTCGGGACATTCGATGTTTTCAACTCCACATCTTTGGTCGCAACCTCCGCATTCTTTAAATTGTTCGTTTTGTCCACAAGCGTTCACGTTGCTTACTAAATACATCGAGACAACACAAAGTTTGCTATTGAGCAATAAATGAACGACAATAGAAAGAGTAAAAATTGATGCGAAACAGATGATAAATTTGAAAGATGTAGAATATTTCGTTGGATGTTAAGCAAGTACTTACTACAGATATAAGCAACGACAAGGAGTAGAAAGAGCACGGCACGGGACATTTTTGAACCAGGATTTTTCTATCACAGTTTTCGAGCGCAATAATAAAACTATAATTTTCGAAATTTGTGAAAAACGGCCAGTCTATATATTCGATTTGTTCGGCCTTGTGAAAATTGTTGCCTTTATTTATTATTACTTTATCGTTTTTACTTGTCCACTTCGTATCACGCTAATGATATCCGCTTAAAATATATAATTACACGTGTTACAATATTTGATGGAATATTTTACGCGTGACACGAATATTACAAGACTTTGAAGAAGGAATGGTTGCTGAAGAATCATCAATAATTGGGAATGTAAAACTTTGAAGTGTAAAACAAAGAATTTTTTTGAAATTAAAGGAAATTGAATTGAATTGTTGTTAATAAATTGCATTGGACTTGTCTAATTCTTGAAATCGAGACAGGTGATGTCTTTATTTAACAATAATAACAATTGTAAATAAAACAATAATAAACGTAGCAATTGTAAATAGAAAGTTGATTTCAAATTTTAAAATTTATTTTCGTTCATTTATTTTTACCACCAAAAAAAAAAAATAACTCATGAATTGTTTACTAGACGTTATCGTTATATATTAACATAAAATGATGATTAACTGATATGGAATGTTAGCCAACATTTCTCAAAATAACCAATGAAACTAAAACTTTAACGCTATTTTTCTTGTTTTTTTTTTAATATGTCAAATTATGCCAAATAATTGTATCGAGAAATTAATTGGGAAATATTCAAAATTAGAGTTTTAATATCACTTCTTTAGAATGAGTGAAAAAAATGAGCAATATTCAAAAATTCACGATTATTCAAACAAATTGTTATTTGATTCGAACAAATATTTTTATTATTGTTTGAATGCGTGTTTTAATATCACGTGTCCAAATATCACGATGAATACTTAAAATTTGCATTCACATTACAGTAGATAATAGATTCAATTGGAAAAAAAATAAAATTGTATTATTTAGAATTTATTTAATTATCTCCATTATTCCTTATTTTTCTTATTTATATTTATTTATATTTTTTATTATTCGTATTTTTAACAGCATCAAACACGATTAATCCCATGAATTTCAACAAATCTCGCCAGGGATCACGACCTCTCTGTCTAGATTGTAGACTCGTTACGCTATCTAAAAAACGGTCGTTTTTTTTTTCATTAAAATTACGTAATCCAAGAGACAAATATTTACGATCGAAAAATAATATTTAATACGATCGTATAAAATAATATTTTCAAAAATATGATTTTTCAAAAGGTGTATCCATTATTATCCCATCCTCATTTATTGTATGTGTTTCCAATAATTCAATAATAATTGAATCAACTGTTACGAACGATATACAAGATGCAATTATTCATAATCAGTTTATCTATCTATTTATCTATTCGATTTTTCTTTTCTCTATCGTATTAAATCTTTAAAAAAGGCCCAACCTTTGTGTTCGCCATCTATCCTTCTTCTTTTAAAGTAAACCTATCAAATCCATAGTTTCGATGCTTTGGATTACAATGCAAAATTAAATTAATCGGACATTATAAATTTAATGATTCTTAAGCTAAATATTCTTATGACTTTGTTGTTGTTGTACAGGATAGAAACTTGTTATTAATCTGTGGTTACATTGATATTGGATCATGCGATTTTTTTAATTTTTGCAAATTTCTTTGGTATTCTGCAAATTGATGATTTTGAAAAAGATTAAATTAAATTATTCGTGGTATGAATAATTGGTACGATGCGAGAAACAATGATCGACTTACGAATCGACTTTGCCAAAAAAGAGGAATTTGTTAAAAGAGAGGAGAAAAAATTGTAACATCGACCCTCAATCGAGTTTCTCAACCCTGTCCACGTATCCATGATTGTTTATTGTTTCGCTGACTGATTGATCTCGTCGAATCAAGAAACGACGCGAGTAAAGAGATGTTACGTTTTTATCTTGAAAGAATGGAAATTATGAAATAAACACGAAGCAAAGTAATCGATTCGAGTACAATCGTAAAATTTAAATAACAGTAAGTAATGATAGTAAGTATGATATAGATATTATTTATTTTCAATACTTTGTTCGACATATTGACAACTCGCGTTCAATCAGCGGCAATACAATGACTCGATTAAATTACATGATTATTTTGTTAATAACTTGTTTAAGAAAAGAAAATACTTAATTTTCTAAAATTAAAGGAAACAATTAAATTGATATAATATAATATAAAAAAAACTGATAATATAAAAAAAATATTATTATATAATAAATCTTTTTATCCATAGATATATGTTATCAAAAAGATAAATATTTTATCTATCAGAGGATAAAACGACCTTCTAAAATACAATATATAAAGAAGGAAGGTTTCGAGAAGCAGTTATTCTACTTTGTTTAATTATTCTTTGCAATCTTTGCAAAGTTTGCAAACTTTGCAATTATTTTTATTTTCTATACATATTTTATCATGGCTCGAATAATAATTTTTTTGTTATTCACGACAATTATTTATTCTAGTGAGTAGTATAACGATATACATACTTCTTATTTATTATTACTCTTATATACTATCTGATATACTGTCTAAACTATTCTATCTCTTCTTTTTTTTTATTCACTTTCTTTTAATTGAAATACATTGGAATTTTAAATAATTTTAATAATTTAAAAATTTTATCGTAGTTAATTTTTAAGTAAAATTAGAAATTCTGCTTTCATTTTTCTTTTCAATATTTTCTTTCAGACAATTAACCTATAATTGTATTATCAGTTTTGGATACAGTTTTTCAGATTTTTAAAATATCGTTTCATTTTAATTTGTATCTCGTTTCACGTTTCATAGTTTAAATAATATTTGATTTTCTTTCTTTGATTGATCAAATAGCTGCATATCCTGACGGAAGCGCGTACGAGAAGTGTGGTCCCAATGAAGAATTCAAAAAATTGTGGTTCAGAATGTGTGGATACTTGTGAGAAACCGGCTTCGCCTATTTGTAATCTGGTTAGTCTAAATTAAATCTAAACTAAAATTCTAACGTTCTTAGATCTGTCACATGGACTAATAATTAAGTATCAACTTTTTTTTGCTACAGAAATGTGTTATTGGATGCCAATGTAAACCAGGTTTTGTAAGAAACAGGGAAAACGAATGTGTTTTGACTCGTGACTGTTAAATATTGAATGTGGAATAAAAAAATAGACAATTAATTTTCCGCTCCAACGTTAATTATCAAACATTACTCGGTGGAATACGATAACTCCAGCTGTAATTCTCCATTTACCATCACTTGACAACGATTTTATAATACGAACGACGATATTATATCGTTATTTTTCCCTTCAAGATTCCTATTATCTTTATTCTATAATTTTATAAAGTATAATTTTATAAAGTAGAATAATACTCACATATTTTTGTACATATTTTATTGTATGTAAAACGTTATAAAAGTGATATTATTGTTTATTTTTTATATATAAAATAAACATGTAAAAATTTACTTCTATTTCATCCAATTCCTTCTTCTTAAAACGAAAAGAATAATATTTTTATATATATATATTATTATATATACCAAATATACTAAGATAAAATGACTAAAAAAAAAAAAACTAACATAAAATTTTGTAATATTTATCAATTTTTAACGAATTTTTTGAATATAAACGCGAAATATATAAATTATATATAATTTAAAAAAGAAAATTACAATTTATTAACAATATTTTGTTAATTTGTAATGCACAATTCGAATTTAAATTTTTTATATGTCAAATAATTTATTAAACGATTATTAAGAACGAGAGAAATTAAGAAAATCGTTAATTTCTTCGCAAATATTAACGGGCACGCTATATAAATATATAAGAGCGCGCCGGTGTTTATAAACGCCAGTTTCCATCGAACCATCGACGAGTGAACATCGAGCGAAGATTTATCGATATTATAAGAAATTATATACGCTTATATTATTAATTTTATTAATTGTTATTATTATATTATTAATTATTATTTTTTATTAATCGATATTATCTATACACGTGTATATTATACAGATGAATATTATATCAGTATCCAATATCTTTTCTAAAAAAAACCTTTTTCAAAAATACGATAATATATATACGCGATATATCAAAGAAATTCTATAAATCTATATCGTAATCTCCGATTAAAACGTTTTCGCAACATTGCGAAATTAAATATTGATCTTTAAATCGATCGATCATTTTTATTTAGCAATATTTTTCGCTTTCTCATATTTCCAATAATTATACAAATTTATGAAACACGCGCAGTTGAATTATCAATTTTATTAATCAATTTTATTAAGTGAATCATCGATAACTTATTGGTTCATTCAAACTTTCATTTCCGACAAACATTAATTTATTCTCGAACAAAAATAGTCGCGAGATTTAAACGATATATATATATATATATATGTGTGTGTGTGTATAGATAAGTAAAGTTAAATAGAGAGGCCATCGAGAAAGATCGTTTATTTTTTTTTTCTAGAAGGAAAGTCTACTTTTAAGTCTACTTTCTAAAAATAATTACCAACGAAATTAACTAAAGTGCGACATGATCGAGTCGCGTGAAAAAAATCTCATCGATAACATTCGAGATCAAATAGCTAGTTTAACCGAACCATCGACGAGAGCGAGACAAGGAACGATGGACGGTATAACAAGCAGGTTGGTTGGGACGCAGTCCCATTTATCAAGGGGGGAGGCGGGTTAACGTTGCGTACATCGGATGGTGATTCTGTATCGAGCAGAGGTCGTCTATTTGCGAGGGTAAACAGACCGTGTTTAATCGAAATCGCGTTGAATCTGGCCGCAAATGTGACTTTTCTCGCGCAACTAACGCCTTCGGCCAAGTTGAAGCACGAATAGCCTCGATTACCGATTCCCCAAGAAACCGGTCACCCGTGAAAACACGTCGGCCCAATTAAAACTTACTCAAAAAAACTTTGGAACAAGGGATTCCGCATCGATCAACTCGTTACAACTTTTTAACGAAAATCATGGAAAAATAATATGGATAAATAATCATATATTCGAAATCTCGTCTCGTCATTCCTTCAGATTCGTGGTCTTCGAGTGGTCTTCCAATTATATAGATAAAATGCAATCTGTGAAAAATTTAAAAGAATGCTTCCTTCCGAATTAACGCGAATTTCTCGACACGTACGAAAAGAATTATAGAGCAATGATTATAGAGAATCAATGGAACAATGAAATTCAAAATGATACTATAATAACTATACGAATATTTTATAAATCTTTGTCACTTGTTTTTGAAAATTGAAAATTTGTATATATATATAACAATCATCAACAGCGTTGACAATATATATTCTCTCAGATTCTTTGGACTATGTATCATAGAGGAAAATTGTTCTTGAATTTTTTTCACGGAAATGCGATCGATCCCAGCCGTGTACCACCGATTTCATCAACAATGCTTGTCGAAAAGTCTTTGGAGAGCCCTTTGAGAGAAGCGAGTCGTCGATGGGGGCGAGGGTGAATCGACAGGAGCCTAAATTCGTGGCATATTTCGAGTTTCCTTCCGGCTGGTTGATTCGATACGTTCCATCCGCGTAAAGCGGAGGCCAGACGGAGCAATATGGACAATACACTTTTCCCCAACGAATCCCGTGGTCTCGTGAACGCGAATAGAATATCTTGGTATCGACTGTGACCGTGGAATGGAAGAGGAGTATCGCAAAAATTTTGTTTTCCTTGTTCGATATCGGGATTAAGGTCGGGACGATTATCGTCCCTTCTCCGTTTCTTCTTCTTCCTCGATGATATTAAGAAAGACGCTGTGCGATATTGGAGGGGAGACATTCGTTTTCTTTTTCTCTAAAAAAGAATGTTTTATTTTCCTCGCGAGAATCGCGATGGGTGAATCATGATGATGGATAAATCATAGAAGATAGATAAGACGATTTTCAAATTAGAGCGCGTTCCATTTCTGAGGATATGATAAGTTTTAAAGATTAATTATCGATTAATTTTTTTTGAAAAAAAATAAACGACGAAGCAGTTATTTGTCAACGCATATTTGTCGAGTATGTTTCAGACAACAGCATTAGATGGGATAGGCGAAGGATCCGTTGCGATGGATGGAAAATATTTGAAAGCACGTGCGAAGGGAAGGATGATAAAAATTTGGAAAATATCGATGGTGTGCCCTGTTTTGCGAGATACGGTGTCGCGATATAAAATATCTTTGGCCGAACGGTCCATTTACGGTCGAAAATTTAGTCGAACGGCTGTACATAAAATCTGAACGAACGGGACCCGTCGCGGGAAACGATTTATGGAAATCGAAAGCCTCTTTAATGGAAACGTTACGAAATCTTTCGCTGGATGCTCTTCTATTCCACGTCTACGCATTCTCTTGGCTGAAAACGTATTAACATTTTCCAGATATTGTACTCGTAAGCGTTAAAGTTGAAGATTATTATTCCGATTCATCTGATACGATAAATTCTGCGAAAACGTGCTCTTCGTGGCGATTAAGAAGCATCAAATCATTATTTTTAATTTAATTATCCGCGTTATTATTCCCTATTCATGATTCATCATTTCTCTTCTATTCCAACTTCGTTCGATGAAAGCGCCTGAATAAGATCGATCCGGTGTACGCGCGAGTGCAAGCGGTTTACTGGTCAAAAAATCGGTAAAGGAGATACCTAATTATTGATCGAGAATCGAAACGGAAAAAGAAAAATTTAAGAGAAACGAAAGAAACTGAGAACGTGATAGTTGTACGGTATAAATAGTTATTACGTTCTATAAAGATATTACACGAGATAAAGAAACCATTAAATGATCAATCTATCGTTAGGCGATAAAAAATTCTAATAAGCAAATAAATAAAGCGAATTTTAAATTGATACGATTTATCGAATTAATCGATAAAAATAATCTTATCGTCACGTCGATTATTGATCTATCTATAGATATATTTCCGAGACAAACAAGCGTATCGTGAATGACGTTCGAAAATAAAGCGTAGATACGAAACACAGCGAGGAAAGAAAAGAAATTCGCGAAACCCATTCCCTCTAATTCGTCGCAAGTCCTCGGCTAATACCAGAAATGGCTGCTCCATCCTCCTTCGTTTTCCTCGCGCGGATCGTCGTTTAATCGTCTCCTCCCCCGTGATCGATTCGAGGAAAGAATTCTCGGAACACGGTCGGCAGATTTCTTCTTCCCATTACGAAAATTACGGCTCGATCATCGTATCGACGTTCGACATTTCGACGATCACCCGCGAATTCATTTCCCAGTTAAAATTAAAAAAATCCAGAGACACGAGATCCTGAAATGCTGGAAAGGGTTGGATTACCTGGAATATACGCACGGTGTAGAATATCAGGCGCGCCTGTTTACGGTTGCCAGGGAACACCGGTGCGCACCGGATCGACGAGGGGATTCTCTCGCGTGTCCATCCGTGAAGCTTGGACGCGCCACTCCTCCTCCTCCTCGTCGTCGTCGTCGTCCAGCCTTTGAACGAATTAAAGCATTTGGGAAATTGGATTCCTGGCCGGCGCGGGAATGCCGGGTGTAGATTTGCCGATTGGCTTTCGCTCATAGCGTTGCGCGCCCCCTTCTCGTCGAGAGAACCATTTTCCTTGCGCGATGATCTCCTTTTTGTCTCGAATACGATCAAATTAATTGATAAAATTTCCTCTCCTCTTCCTCTTCCTTTTTTCCCTTTCTTCCCTTCTTTCTTTTCTGAAAGCAATCCTCGTAAAAATTTCGAAAGTTCGACACCTGAAAGTCGACGAGGAGAACGAGCCAAGAGAGCCAAATTTCAAGCAGCCTATTTATGGTTGCCAAGGAAACGTATGCGAACCCCTTTCGCGAGTCCGGCAACCGCGATAACTGTCACCGTATTTTCGTGACGATACAAGGTGGAACGAGGGTCGTTAAGGATAATACGCGTGTACTAAATTTGAGGACAGGACGGGAGCGGAGATCGATTAAGCGGATATTTATTGAAGATGGTGGAAGATGGAAGGGCGATAACGCGATGGAGATAATTTTTAAGATTTTAAGAGAATCGATGTAAAGTGTATAAATCAAACTCCTCGATCCAATCTATCCCTATACGTATTGTCAATTACAACCGCGTCTAAATCGCAAGGCAATTCGTATTTCGC